AAGCCACCAGTATCTACGGCCATGTCGTTGGAGTAGCACAACAATCGGATGTAGCTTACCACCTCTAGCGGTACAGCGGCGAGAAAGCCCAGCAGCACCGCCCGAGTTGCGGGGGCGAATGGCGGTGGCTCCATGACACGAATCGGCCCACAACAGTCCACGGGCCGCTTCGACTCGAGTTGTCAACGCTTTCCAAATTTGCATCGGCTTCATCGTTGTCGTCAACCGAGTCGGCGGGACACTTTAACGACACTTTGGTCGTGATGGCCAAATAACCCGCTTTCTCCTTGGCACATCGTTTGACTTGCTTGTAGACTTGGTCATCTTTGCGCCCTTCAACAATCCGCCGGCGGACGGCAAGAACCCCCACCGCTTCCGCATTCCGCTCATTCGCATCTTGCTTCCCGCGACGCTGACGCGGAACCCTCGAAAACTCGCCGCCATCGGCATGCCCCACGCTGAACTCATCACAGTTAACGACGCGTTGGAGGACAATTTGTTTGCTACGCCGGCGAATTTGGACGAAAGCATGATTGAAGAGCTGCTGCACACGTTCGAGTCGCAGCTCACAATTATATTTACTTCGTCGATCATTGCGACTAATCGTCTGTGCCGTCTGCTGCAGCTCTTCTCGTCGGAGCTGCAGAGTAAGCCGCATCACGTCATGAAATGTTGGTGACGTTATGATGCATAGGCGTGCGGGGGAACCTACGGGGTAACATGCGTGACTTAGCGCAAGCCACGGGCATTTCAAACAGCACCCTTTGTCGGGCCCTCAAGAATGGAGTGATATCGCGCCGCTCGTCCACAATTAAGCCGCCTCTGACCAATGCAAACAAGCTTGAACGCCTTGCCTACTGTGGCGCGCATGTAAATCACACCCAAGAAGCAGCGAATGAGTACCTTGCTGGCGTTCGTGAAACGCGGCGTCCCTCCCCGCTGTGATCAACTTCGCCGGCGCGACGGTCGCTCCGCTCCGTCTACCGTGCTCTTTGAGAGTGACGCTAATCACAGCACTCTGCGTGAAGTCGAGTATTCTGGTATGTGGGATGTCGTGCACCTTGACGAGGAATGGTTTAATGCGGACAAGGATTGTCGGAAGGAGTACTTTGTTGATGACGAGACGGCTTAAAGTCGTGCCTGCGAGTCCAAGCGGTTCTTTCAAAGGTACTTTCAAAGATAATGTACTTGTGTGCTGTTGCTAGACCGCGCCTGAACGTTGGGTTCGACAGAAAAATTGGTATGTGACCATTCGTGACTCAAGTTCCAGCCGTTCGCTCTTCCCGCAATCGACCTGCCGGTTCCATGGTGACAACTCTTGTCATAGTTGACACCAAGACGTACCGTGATTACGTCCTGAACAAGGTCGTTCCCGCGAAATAGGCGAAATTTCCTAGTGTGGGTAAGCGAGTCGTCCTGCAGCATGACAACGCAACTTCGCACAGTTCTATCGACGACGAAGCACTTCCCCAAATGTAGACTCAAGGGTGGACTTTCGTTATCCGCTGGCAGCCGCCAAACAGCCCCGACTTGAATGTTCTTGACCTTGGCTTCTTTGCGTCTATCCAAACCCTACAGTACAAGATGTTTAGCCGCACGGTGGATGATGTGATTGCATCAACAATGATGGCGTTCGACTCGCTCGATGCAGAAATCCTGGAGAACCTGTTCCTTACTCTGCAAGTCGTCATGCGATTGGTGCTCGTACATGGTGATGGCAACCAGTTGAAGCTTCCCCATCTGAAGAAGGGTACCATGAAGCGTGCTGGCGCCCTTGCGGTGAAATTATCCTGCCCTGTCTTTGCGGTCAACAGTCTCCTCCAAGCAGCGAGTCCTTGAGTACTGGATATGGAATTTTGACCAATAAAATTCACTTCTCTTCTCATTGTCCAATCATATAGAAATGGTGGCAGTAACATGAAAAAAGTGGGTATTGGAACGGTGGGAGTAATAAGAAATAGTGGAAGTATCACTTGAGGGAACGACCGAAATCCTTCCCTCGTGGTACTGGAGAAATAAATTGAAACCTGTATGAGGGAATAATAGTTCGACGTTGGGTTTTGCTGGGAATTGCATTATATTGAACAGTTTGTGCTGGTGAGGACTGCTGTTTCATTTGTCAAAATCTTTACATGTAGTACTGTGCATTCTCAACTAGTTAATATTTTAAATACACCCAATTGCCACTGAGATTAAGCTTACGTAGACCAGAGACTGATCACCTCACAAAGCAATTCTTCCTCATCGGCAATCATTCGCTGTATCATGGCCAGCCTTACTCGGCTTCAGACACCACAGAATTTTTGCGGAGCCACTTGTTGGTAGGTTAGATTGCTCTTCAGATAGCGCCGCGTCCAAAGAGTGAAGGATATCAATGTTGTCGTTCCCGTAGAAATATAAAATAATTTTGTATTCGTCATGATTTAATTGTTACTTCTCTCAATGTTTGTTCAGGATATTGCTGAGTCATTAAAGTTGGACATAAACTACAATGCAGCGTTTTAGCTGCAAGCAAACCAATGTTACATGCTATCACGAGGGATGTTAGAGCAATTTGTTGGAGCACGTCTAACAGTTGTTCTCAACCATTTTGTGCGAAATTGGCGCCGCCCACTGTCGTACAAGACAACGCATCATTTCCTATAGTATTGTGAGTGAGCGAATTATCGCCCCAAGTGCTATGACCTGACCTCATGTATCAACATAGAATGCAGAATGTATGTTTGAATATATTAATTGAATGAAATTATCATCTTGGTGCGATGTAATGAAAACAGTATCGCTATGGTGCGAAAATGAATACGTTTCGTATTTGAATGTCACGGTAATGGTTACACTGTGGGGTCAAAGCGATTGACTGCGGCACCAAACAGTCGGCCAAAATGCAATCTTCCTTTGACAACTTGTGGACCTCGGTTGATCATGATATGATTCTACTACAAACATTGGATTATAGAACTCTAAACTAAGTATTAGTATTTAATTGTTTCGTTGTTTGAGGAAAACCAGATCAATTTGTATCATATCATGTTCTTGGACGGGCCAAAACAATTATTAATGAGAATGAGGATGATATTGGATGTCCACAATATTAATGTCCCACGGGGGAAGGATTTCTGTCGTTCCCTGTATACCTCAACGATATCCACAACTCATAATAGCTGAACGTTTACACTATAATATTTAATTGTGTTGTGATTGGAAAAAGTTGGACCGACCGTCCGGTACATCTCTGATTGGCTAAAATGATCTGATTATTGACGTATCAAGTGTCGCTCACGTACATTTGTTCAACTTGCGGCTGATCTTATGTGTCTGTCGATCGTTGCCGAGTTTCGTGTCATGGTCGCGACCTGCGCCGTCTGTGTGGGCGAGAAAGAGCCGGTGAGTGTCGACTGAACTGTGCGAGGAAAATTGAGCGTGAACGACATTCAGCTGGTATCTGTGATCGGGAAGGGCGCGAGCGGGACCGTCCTCCTTGTGCAAAAGAAGACAACGCAATGCTGCACGCGATGAAGGTGACCAAGGAGGGCATTTTGCTTTCCTCTCATTAGTGGCAGACCGATGTCTATAGTTCTTGTTTGAGATAGCCCATATGCATGCGTCGAACATCATGTGCCACGATCTGAAACTCACAAACAACGTGCTGACT